CCCATCGTCTTCTCCTCCCTCGTCGGCCACCGTGGCATGAAATCTCTTCCCGACAGAGAACGGAGGTGAAGAAGAAGAAGGAAAAGGGCTGGATGGGGATCCATCACAAGGAGACAACCTCGCCAACACACTTCCCCAAGCGTGCCTTCGCTGTTCTCGAGACCGGGCGAGTAGAGGTTGTCACGCCCCGAACTAGTCCCGACCGGAACTAGCCCGTGACGCTCCAAATTAACCTGTTAATCGATACCAGTCCCAGGAAACAGTGCTGGTATCACAGGGAGACAGAATATCACAGCAACAGAGGTCTCTTTATTATAGAGTAGGGGTACAGTCATGTTGGGCCGCGGACAGATCCCGAGCTCACAACTGCATTATAAAAAGGAAACGGAAGCCAGGACTTGGACCGAACAACACAGGCGCGACTTGGGAACTAGGCCGAAACCCTAAAACTCATCGTAGCCGGCTTGCTCCTGGAAGAACTCCTCATCAGTAGGTTCCGCTTCATCTTCTTCAGCAACTGGGGGGGGATTATTTATATAGAGCAAGGGTGAGTACGGGAGTACTTAGCAAGCCATGGGAAATAAGTGTTTAATGCAGGCTTCAAAGAAAGGCTGTTGTTTTTATAATTGATTTTATTTGAACTCTTTTCTAAAAACAACTAAGTGAGTGCTTCTCAAACGACACGGTTGAGACAGTGCGTCTCGTCCGGTCGGAGTATGTGCAATGTATCAGTCTTTAGAATTGAATCAAGGTTGGCACCCGGCCAACAGCTTTTCAAACGGCCACCCGGGCCAACAACTTTCAAACGGCCACCCGGGCCTAGCTGATCCCGTCAGCTGCTGATTTTTTCAAACATCGAACCCCTTTCCACAACAGCAATTTCACAAGCAGTAGTCAAACAAAACTACGCTAGGAATCACCTCGCATCCGCCCATGACCGTGGGCACGGCTGTTCGAATAGTTTATTAGCCTCTACAGAGGGGGTACACTTTACCCACACGACATTACTAACCCGGATCACCCAGCCCGTGGGGATCAGCCACGTCGGGAGACCTCCAAGCTTTCATGACAAGGCATTTCGAAAGCCGACACAGGTTTACCATATGCCGACGAGAGGGGTCCCAGACCAACAACAGGTTAGGTCCCAGACCATACTGTGCCAGGAAGCCCAGGGGTCCTCCCCGACACCACCCCGGCGAATCCACATGTCTCTCGGCATCAAGGCTCCCTTGATAAGCTAGTTACTCAGCCAGGGGTGTCCCATTCCACCCATGTGGTCGTACTTGACTTATGTTTGGATGAAATTCCAAGGAAACGGTCCTTAAGTGCAAGAGCGGGAAACCGTGCACCCGGTACGTTCCCCGGTCCGCGGTTTTAGAAATTCATTTAGTTCGCAAGCACCGACCCAGGTGTCGGGTTTTCCAAGTCTTTTGTAAAAGCCAAGTTTTACCCAAGTTGTTATTTAGATTTTAAGTTTGAAGGCATCCGTCGATACTCGCACAGAGTGCACGAGCACCGAGGCGCAACTGGGTGGTTACAAGGGAACATGGTATAACGATTAACAAAGGAAGGATCAAATGCAACAAATTAGGTAGGTCCGCCAATCTGCCTTGCAGACGAGACAAACAGATTAAGTGCGATCCTATCAATGCATAATATTTTTCAAGCAACATAATTAAATTCAAATATAGGCTCAAGATGTTCAAAGGTGGCTTGCCTTGCTCGAGATCTGGAGCTTGATCCTCGAAATCCTCGCACCGCGGGTCTTCGGGCTCCGAAACTACACGCGAAACGGGACAACTCAACAAACGGCGAAAATAAAGCCCTATTAATGACCTCTAAGCGTGCCATTAGATAGATCTCGAGATTTGAGAAATTTTGGAAGTTGAACGGAGTCAAACGGTTTTACGGTTGGGAAGATATTGAATTTCTAAGATTATTGGATTTTTGGTCTTAAGGAAAAGGATTTAATTAAATCCTTTTTGGAAAAGAAAATAAAAGAAAGGAAAATAAAAGGAAAGAAAAGAGGGAGGGAATATAGACTTTTCTCGGGCGGCTAGGGCGCGGCCTAAGAGAAATGGAGCGGTCCGGCCGAGCTAAATGGGCTGGCCGGCCCAAGGCGGCCCAAGACGCGCGCGCGGGAGGCGAGGAGAGAGAGAGCGCCGGTGGACCGGGCTCACTGCGCACGGTCCCGGGTGGGACCCGCTTGTCGGTGACACGGTTCACCGTGCGGAGCGAGCACGCGGCGCACGCGCGCGGGCGGGGGAGGGACGCGGTGCACGCGCGTGGTTCGCGGAGGGACGGATGCGGTAGGCCCACGCGCAGCCTCACGGCTCGCGGTGGAACGCGCGCACGGGAGGGGCTGACCGGGATCGGCCCGACCCGATCTCGGACGAGCTGGCGCCGACGTGGCGCCTACGTGGCGCCTACGTGGCTGCCACGCGGGCTGGCGGGAGGAAGACGAAGGCGCCGGCCGCGAATGGACGGCGGGCGGCGGCGGTTTCTCCGGGGCGCCTTGCGACGATGAGGGGCGACGGGGCGTACACCGGGATGACGAGGAAGAAGGAGAGGGAGCGAGCCAACGGCTCAGATTCACCGGAGGGAGTCCGTTGGCGGCGGATTTCGGCGGCGGCAACCGGCGGAGGGCAAAGGGGGAAACGGCGACGAGGTCACGAGGGGCCAATTCCCGGCGGTGAGAGCATTTACGCGGCCACGGGAATCCGTTGCTAGCGTCGGATTGGGCGGAGCTACGCCGAGCGAGGCCGGCGACGAGCGGGTGCTACGGAGCTCGGGCGGCGACGGCGGCGAGCACACGGCGAGCGACGGCAACGGTCGGGGCGGCGCCGGCTAGTTACGGGGAGGCTACTCGAGCTACTACCGAAAACTAAGGGCGAGAGATGGAGCGAGGAGGACGAACGGATGGAGGCACTACCGAGATGAGGAGGGGCGCTGTGACGAGAGGCCGACGGCGTGGGAGTAATCTCTCCGGCCTCGGGCCGGGGAAGAGGAGGAAGACGAGCGCCCGGAGTCCCCTTCCGCGTCCACGAACGCACCGGCTCTCCCGGCGCTTGGCGATGAACGGCGGAGGCGAGACAGAGCTCGGAAGGCGGCGGCAACAATGGCGATGGGAGGAGAAGAGAGGGAGGGCGCCTGGGCTTTAAGGGCGGCAATGTTGGTTTGGAACCGACTTGGGCGGTCAAGGCGTGAGCTGGCGCTCGGCGCTCGCGTCCAATTGGCGACAGGGCGGAGGGAGGATGACGCCGGCGGGAGGAAAAGGGGAAAAGGAGGGAGGGAAAGGGGGGCTCGCCCCTTTCTTCTTTGGGAAAAGGAGGAGGGGCGCGGGGGCGTCGCGGCAGAGGGAGGAGGGCTCTGCCTCCGTCCCTTGGCGGCTTGCGCGCGGAGTGGCGGGGCCGAGGCGATGACGACGGCGATGACGGCGGGGCGGTGTGGAGCGGGGCGGCGACACGGGCGACAGGCGTGGGCAGGCGCTGACTACAGGGCGACCAGGCGGTCGGCCACTCGGCACGCGCGCGCGGCTTGCAACGGGAGGCGCGGCGGATGGAGTGGCGCGGCTCGGGCACGCGCGCTGGCTGCGGGGCCGAGCGGCTGCAGGCGCGGCAGGGCAGCAGGGCTGGGCGGCGCAGACGCGACGCGGGCGACGACCACGCTGGCGCGCGCGCGAACGACGCGCGGGGAGCGGCAGCGAGGGAGCGAAGAGGAGGGCTCGGCTCGGCGCGGGCGGCTCACGCGCACGCGCGCGGGCAGAGCGAAGAGGGAGGGGCGCTCGACGCGGGCGGCTCACGCGCACGCGCGCGCAGCGCGCGGGCGGAGCGGATGGGGAGAGGGAGAGAGGGAGCGCGCCGGGGGGGGGGGAGAGGGCCGGGGGGAGAGGGGGAGATGGGCGGAGAGAAATTCGGCCCATCGACCCCGGGGGAGGCAAAATAGACTTTTGCGGAGGAATTTGATTTGGAAGGATTTGGATTCGGGATTGAACTCGACGATATATCGGGGATTTGAGATCTTGAGATGGCACGGACACTAGACAACAAGCAAGGAAACAAATTTCACAATTAGGGTTTTTAAGAGATAATTTTTCCGCTAGGCGCCACGACGGAACGGGCGCTACAGAGGTGCTCGGAGCCCTGCAGAGGTCCGTGATTCTTTGTAGGGTGATGGCCCCTAGCCGAAAAGTGGTTCGGTTCCTACCTGGCGAGCTAGGGATACCCTCCACGGTGGAGCGTTGGCCATGGCCTGAGGAGTACTAGCTAGGGATGCAGATCCTCTGCAGTACTGCTGATGCAATAGCAGACACTGACTCGTGGGTGTACTGCAGACAATCCACACTGACTAGCTAGCACTTACTGAAACAATAAAACTTTACAATATTTCCTAATGGTAATACATGTTCGTTTTTTGGATGAATTGAGCAAGCAGATTAATCTAGCGAGTGATACATGTTTGCACACAACATTATGGCTGTAGGGAGAAATTTGATACTGTACCATTGTCTCAACAGGATTTCGTTGGATTTCCACTCCCTAAATAGGTTTCGGTAAACTGCCACTTTCAACCAAGACGTCTACGCTGAAGTGCCATTTCCTCCATTTCTTCCCAATTAAAATCATTCTTTTTCCTTTTTTCCGTTATTTGCTAACCAAAATACCCCTGTATGTCCACTCAATATGTATAAACTTGTGCCATTGTGATCAATGCTACCAATATTTTCCAGCCTTTTCGTATCTATTTAAGATGCGTGCAAATGATGAGTACAATTGATCACAATGGCACAAGTCTATACACAAACATTAAGACTGAAATCTTCTATAATTAAAGAAACAATAAAATTAGATTATTGTGAATAATACCTCTCCAGCACAAATATAATTTGTTATTTTTGTTTCTTTATCTGTAAATTGAATTTCGATGTGCATGTTTGTATAGTGGTTTTGTATCATCTTTATCCATCTTATCAAATTTTATGAAATATTTACATAATTATCTTGTAAAAAATGCTTTCCCAGTTTCGACAGTTTTCATCTAAAGTTGAGGACCAAAGCACATCCCAATGTTTTACAGTGTGGTGAAGTTTCTCGATCAATGTGGCCTTCTCTGCTTCGCAAATCCATTTTTCTTTGGAGAAAGGGAGCAAAGCTCTCCCATTTTTTGAGGGAATGAACAGACTGTTTAATAAATAACAACCGACAACATCCAAATTAAGTAAAACAAAACTGTCATTTTGTTTGATCTAAACCAAAAACCATCACATCCAGTAGACATTGCAAGTAGAGTGCTGACATCTAACCAACCCCTATCCTCTTGACTTGCATTCGTCTCCAGGCAAATCTTGAGCTGAAAACTTCAGCAACCACCTGCAGCGTTCCCTCTTGCAACTTTCTTCGATCCTCTTCCTTGATCTGTAGGATGGACCAAGAATTGATCCAATATATAGCATGCATCATGCATTAGTTCAGTGGAGGATCCAAAGATAATTTAATCAACGTAGTAGAAAGCAACACATGGTTTCGGCAGCAACGCTGACTGACCTGCGGCTCAGGTTTGCTCCGGCGAGCGGCACCGGCGCCGGCCGTGCGGATCACTCACATCGTGTCAGCTCGCGGGTGATGTGAAAGAGAGAGAACGACATGGAGCATAGTAGAGCACGGCCGCACCGGGCTGTGATCAGCTACCATGTGAACCGGAGCAAATCTGTATTGGTGTTGTTCATCCCTGATTCCCCATGCATCCCATTCTCAGGGAAGAATGGCATCATATCTCGTCGAACCACCGATCGATGCAATGTTCTGCTCCGATCCTAACAGCGGATTTCTTACCAACAGAGAGGAAGGAGATGATCAGGATATTTACAGTTTTGGAGCGAGGCGAGATCAGGATTTATTGTTTTGAATTGTTGATTCCTGCCTAGAGGATTTTGCCTCAAAAAGATTCTGTCTAGACGAGCAGTAGCTAGCCTGTGCGAGGTAGAGTCTTATATTCATAATTTTAGTATAAATATGTGAAATATAAGGTAAATTTATAGTTTATCTTATAATAAAACAAGCCGTAACAAATTAAATAACATTGATCTATCTTTTTAGTAAGATGAATGATTAAATGTTATGTTAAAAATTAACGGCCTCATACATTTGAAAACGGAGGAAGTAATAGCTATAGCACTTTCAGTATTCAGTTCAGTGCCACACCACCCAGACGAGAGGTGATCGAAAGGAAAACACTGCAACGCTATGACTAGCTAATAGTACTATCTGGTTGGATTTAAAGTTTGGAACTGACGAACGATGGCAACTCGACCACGAGCAATTAAGCAGATAAGTCAATCGTGTCGTTAATCATCGACGCTAGGTGTACCATGCACGAGCCACTCTTGTTGCGTTGTGTCTTTACACATGCAGACAGTATTAACAAAATCAGCATCAGTACTATCTGACGCTATTTCAACAGCAAACTTTTTGTTTTTTGAAAAGATTAGACGGCAAGGGCATTGCCGGATATATTAGAAGAGAAATAGAGTATAGGCTACAAGCAGCTCAGTTTTCCTGGGAAGGAGAAACCGAAAGGAACCGAAATTACATAAGGTATAAATTCTCCCTGATCAAGAAGGCTACTTGCAGCGGCGAAAGCGATTTTTGTTGGAAGAGACGCCAATTTCACTCTAGCCAAACATGCCACCAGGAAATTAGCAGCATCCCTACAATTTTCTTACGTTCACTTGTTGGTCTGATGGTAGCCAGATACTCCATCCAATCCGCAATTGATTGGGAATCGGTGTGCAAGTGTTGGTAGCCATGCAACATGACTAGTAGAAACTTGTGAGGGGCTAACATGACTAGTAGTTCCTCAGCTGGAGCTTCTGTAGGATCAGGTTGTTCGTTTCAAATTCCCCATGCATCTCATTCTTAGGGCACCACTGGTTTCTCACAAATCAGAGTAAGGGAATGGTCTGAGATTTGCAGTTTCCGAATGCCTGGTTTGTCCAGAGTAGTAGCAGCCTTAAGACCCCCTGATTTATAGATGGGCAAATGGAGCTGAAGGGGTACTAGTACTTCATTACCACACCAATTAACAAATAAGAGGAGAAAGGAAAACATTATTAGTCTCTAAATATATACTCCCTTCGTCCCTAAATATTTGACGCCGTTGACTTTTTTAAATATGTTTGACCGTTCGTCTTATTTAAAAACTTTTGTGAAATATGTAAAACTATATGTATACATAAAAGTATATTTGACAATAAATCAAATGATAGGAAAAGAATTAATAATTACTTATTTTTTTAATAAGACGAACGATCAAACATATTTAAAAAAATCAACAGCGTCAAATATTTAGGGACGGAGGGAGTATTATTAGTAATGCACATTTTTTTCATGTGTATATAACCGAAGTATGAAGGATATGTATCAAGGTTTCGTTTTTGCTATATTTCTAACTACTGGCCAAAGATGAATGCTCGTTCAGGTGAACAAACATCAATACACACATGTGGAGATGAGTAATAGGGTGAACTAAGGCTGAATATGGGAGGTGGAGTTCACACGGAAAATGGTGTTATCCATTGAGGCGTGAATTTAGGGGTGGATAGCGAGCCGGCTCGGCTCGGCTCGTTATCCTAACGAGCTAGAAAACCAGCTCGGCTCGGCTCTTTTGAAAGCTCGAGCTAACTCGTTAGGCTCGCGAGCCAATCCAACAAGACAGAAAGAACCAAGGAGGAGGGGACCTGCGAGGCTGCGAGTGCGAGTGTGCGACCTGCGCCGGCTGGGGAAGTGCAGCGGCGGCGGCCCTCGCGCTGGCTGGGGAAGTGCGATGGCGGCGGCGGTCATAGTGGCTTGCGGCGGCGGCGGCGCGAGCTCCTGGCGACGCCGGCGGCAGCCCTAGCAGCTTGCGGTGGCGTCGGCGCGGTCTCATGCGGCGGAGCCAGAGAGAGAGAGAGAGATGCGGAATTGCAGATGTGCGGTTTCGACTTCTCGTCTCGTGTGCTGCGGCGGATGAGGATTGACCGAGTGAGGAGAACTAGGGTTTTGCACTTTTACTATTGTCTTAGGCTTGGGCCTGTGCTATTGTATTGGGCTGGGCCTTCGCGGTTGTCTGATGAAGTCCTGGCTCGTTAAGGCTCGCGAGCCAGCTCGAGCTGGCTCGTTATCCCTAACGAGCTAAAATGCCAGCTCGGCTCGCTAGGAAAATCAAACGAGCTGAGCCGAGCCGAGCCAAGCCTGTCACGAGTCGAGCGAGCTAACGAGCCACGAGCTTCCTGTCCACCCCTACGCGTGATTAATTAAGTATTAACCTAAAAAATTAAAAAATGGATTAATATCCGATTTTTTAAAGCAAATTTCCTATATAAAAATTTTACAAAAAAGTACCAATTAACAGTTTGAAAAACGTGCCCGCGGAACGAGAGAGATGTGAGTTAGAAAAGAAGTGAGAAGAACACAACCTAAGTAGCATGTACGCTAACCGGTCACTAGTTATTCAGACCTGATAATCTTCATGTATCACATAATCAAAGTTGTGACTTTGCCGTCTGTTATTGTAGATGTGAAATGTTGTGACTGCTTGAAAATATGGAATGCGTTTCTTCTCAGTGTCTCAAAGACAAACGTAACAAATGCTGATGAGAAGAGTCGGTATCTCAATATCGACCATCTCTTAGCGATACGCAATTTTCATCTACAGGTTTAGAAGTTAGAAGTGAAGCCCATCCCAAGGTTTTACATTTTTTTTTCATGTTATCTTCACAAATCCTAGAAGGATTGTACATAATTCCTAGTTTTTAGACCCCAATCAAAATCACTGGACTCGTACTTTCCAACGCACAGTACATTTCATTCATTTTTCCTCTATGGAAGATGAATTACATCTCCGTGTCTGCATCATATCCAAATTAAATCAATAGTGAGATTTTTGTTTTAATAATGGACATTTAAATTAACAATGAAATACATAAGCTGTATAAAGTAAACTAAGTTTGAGTTTGAAGTACAATTATAGTTGTTTGGCGGCTTGAAAAACAGTACGGATCATTAGCACATAATTGTACGCTGTACCATAAATGAAGTCATAGGGTACTCAATTTGCACTAGAAATTTTGGTACCACTTAAGGACTTTAAAATTTCTCTCAAATTTTATACTATTTTTTTTATTTGAGATAGAAAATATGATCCCTCCAGAATGATAAAATTACTCCTAAAGACGAACATAGATGCAATGATGCAGATAAACAGCCGTAGAGTGGTCGGAACTGCCATATTTATTTTCACCACTACAGAACAGATCGGTAGCCAGATCTCTAATATCTACTTTCAATTGTGTCATTAACCATGTTAATTGTATCTCTAACAATATCTCTTTGTTGAGACGTGTTTTTACACATGTAGATAGTAACAGAGTTGGTATCAGTAATACCTCAGTGCTTCAACAGCGTGCTGTTTTTCATTTACAGGTTCAGAAGGGCCACACGCTACACGGCGATGTTATCCTCACAAATCGCAGAAGCAATTGAGCAACGAGGATAGACTGATACAAGGAGCTTGGTGGCTTTTTCCCAACCTGCCACCGTTTCTCTAGCAAGGCTAGAAATTCAGACCACACGCCGATAATTTCATATGCTTGATCTGCAGACAAAATGATCTAAAGCACAACACATGTCGACTGGATAGTGAATTGGTGAGAGGCTAACATGACTACTGCTGCCTCAGCTAGACATTATCTAGGATCAGGTGGTTCGTTTCAAATCTCCAATGCATCCCATTCCCAGGATATTGCATTGCATTGGTGATGCATAGCATACTGTCATACTGAGATGGCCAGGATTTGCAGTTCTCTACTGCTGGTTTTGTGTAGATGAGTATATATATAATTCACTAACTTAGTATAATTCACTAAGTTATTGATGGGCTCTTGGATTAGAGAGAGGCACTCATTGCCACACCAATTTAGACAAGATGAGAAAAGAAAATCTTACAACCGTGCTATACATACGACTTCAGTGTATGACTCCATCCCGATTCACACATCTAATGCACCCCGTACTACCATCAGGGCATAGGGGTTATGGGCAAAGGATTAATTAATCTACGCTGGAGATGCATTGTCGTACGTCTCAGTCAGACGAGGCAATCATATGTGTAGCATTATTCAAAATCTTATTAGTCTTTGAACATATTAGCTCACAGTTTGTCATGACTATATAACAGAAGTATAAAGAAAGTATTGAAGTATAGTTTATATTCCTAGAGTGAATTTTATTTCTCTGTGTAGAGGCCCTAACGAGAAATATTACTGGGAGGTGAAAAAAAATACGTTCGTTTTTCCTGTATTGCTCCTAGCCAAAGATGGATGCTGTACTACGGATTTCACAGTCTCGATCAATTTGATTCAGGCGAACAACATCAATTCAGGTCCTGTTTTATTGATGCAATCTTCACTTGGACAAAGTCTGGAGTACTAGTAGCTTGCTCATAGGTGTTGTGAAGGCACATTTGGACCCAATCACAACACTGGAACCTATCGATTTATTTTGAAAAACAAAATTACATATGAAGTCATTGTTTGAATATTGTCAAATCACTATGATTTCTTCTCCTTGTTCGTAGCATACTCCGATCAGAACCAAATTTATTTGTCGATCGAACCAATCCACGAAGCAACTATGAAGATTTCTTTTTTTTTAAGATAGAGAGGTCGAAGCCTCTCCCATTTCCATTAAAGAAATGTACGGTAGTTTTACAGACTTGAAGGAAAGCAGCAAACGGAAAAAAAGAAGAAAGGTTTTAATTGCTAACCTCTAGTGGAATGCCATCCCATCACACTTTCAGCTGCAAGAAGAAAACAAAAGAAAGTAATTAACTGAATAACAGAAGCTGCTACATGCGACTCTGAAGATTGCTTCATGCACAACAAACGACAAAACATAACTCTCTATAATGGCATCACCAATATATATGGCAAAATGATCCATATAGATGAGACCCACATAAATAGTTTATCTCTATGTCAATGTTCACAATGTATATAGATACAAGGTATCATTA